ATGAGGAAATTAGTTTTTTATTAAAAATATATATATATTTTCATTTCAGTTCAAATTATTATAATTTTTGTGTATATTTTTTTCTAATTACTCTTAATTTTTATTCAATGAACTATGTTACTAATAAAACAAATATTTTGTTGTCAAAATAAAAGAATTACATGAAAAAAATTATTTATTTTTTAATTTTGTTTGTTGTTCTTTTCCACATATATTTATTTTTATTTTTATATAATTAAATAAAAAATAAGATTTAAAATTTTATCAACTCAGTGGGCAATATACTATACTGATTTTAACTTTTATAACTTCTTAAATAACCCACTGATAACTTTCATTAAAACTAACTAGAAATTATTGAGTTGCTTAATATCAGATAATTATTTAAGTAAACAAAAACTAATTACACAATCGATTTAATCCACATCAAAGCTTGAAAACCATATAAACATCCATCCCACCGTTTTATTTATAAATATATTAAGATAATATTTTTTATTTTTTAAATAATTTTAAAAAATACAAAAATAAAAAATAAAAAATAAAAATAAATTTATTTTAAAAAAATGCTTTAAAACAAAAGAATAACCAGCATCTTTGTTAAACTTTTGATTAATTTTAAAGAGAGAGGAGAAGAAAAAGACAGGAAAAGAGTCCAATAACATTAGCCCCACAATTTAAAATAATAAAAATAAAACAAAGCAAGCAGGGGCCATTTTCAACGGTTCGATTCCATCTCTTTTTCCGCATTAAATAAAAATAAAAATAAAAAACTTTATCCCGTAACCCTACAGGACTATTTATTAGTCTATTATGCAATATACTATTATTACATGCCTCATCTTCATCATCATCATTTTTCAATTTTGCATCAACCTCCACCCAGCCCTCAATTTCCTCCAAAACACACACTCACATCCTCCACCCTATCTACCTCTCTCTAAATTCCTCACCTACCCCTCTTCCTCTCTCTAACAAAAAATTAATTTTACTAAAAATCTCTCCTTTCTTTTCTTTCTCTCTCTAAAACAGCATCCATGGACCCACCTCCTCCTTCATTATTGATCCATCCACCACTCTCACCGCCCACCCCTCCACCACCCACCACCGCCATCCCCTCCACCACTGAAACCACCCCCCATTTAGCTCCTCTTCCCAACCCTGCCCCCGCTGTAACCCAGCCTTCTTATGCTGAGGTATTAACGGCATAAAACATGCTAGAGAAAAGTTAAAAGGACTTTCTTTTCTTGTTTTTTCTTTTCTTTTTTCTTTTTGGTCTAATCTTGATTTCTTTTTTCTTGTTTTGCAAGATGATATATTCAGCGATTACTGCTTTGAAGGAACAAGATGGGTCAAGCAGGATAGCTATAGCAAAGTATATAGAGAAAGCTTATCCTGGCTTACCCTCAAATCACTCTGATTTGTTGACACACCACTTAAAACGTTTGAAAAATAGTGGGGCGCTTGTTTTGAACAAGAAATCTTACATGTTACCCAGATCTGACAGTAACGCAAACATCACCACTACTACCCCAACTGTCTCTACTAGCCCTACTCAGATTCAGCCACAGCATGCCGTTCCTGTCTCTTCTGCTCATCCTGAGCAGAAAAGGGGCCGAGGAAGGCCTCCTAAAGCTAAGCTTAATGGTCTCACTCCAACTCCTGCTCCCGTGCTTGCTAATGGGCAGGCACAGACTGCTCTTGGCTTAAATGTTGGTGTTACTGCCCAGCCTCTCTCGGTTGGGTTTCCTATCGAGCCCACCTCCTCGACGGTGAAGAAAGGCCGAGGACGGCCGAAGAAGGTGGTGGTGACTGAAGGTGGGCCATTAGCGGTGAACAAAGGAAAAGGGAGGCCACCGAAGACTGGACCTTTAGGGTCCAAGAAGAGTCCAGGAAGGCCCAGAAAGCCTAAGTCTTTGGTGGATGCTAAAAAGGGCCCTGGACGTCCGCCTCAGAATCAGTTGAAGCCAGTGACCGTTCCTTACGCTGTTGCAGCTCCTACTCCTACTGCTACTGATGCAGCAGCTGTGTTTAATGTGGGATCACCAAGGCCCCGAGGCAGACCCAGGAAGGGTTCAGCCCTAGCAGTTGCTGGTGTTGGTGCTGCTGTGGTGGTGCAGGCTAAGCGACCAGGCCGCCCACCTAAGCTGCCTATAATTATGAAGCCTAAACCGAACAAGAGTTCGGGCAGGCCTGTTGGCCGGCCTAGGAAGGTAAATGTTGTTATTTCTACACGCATTTGGATATAGATTCCTTGTGGTTTCTTGTTGTTACAACGTTAATTGTTGGTTATCGTTAATGTTTGGTAAATTCCATAATTGTGGGAGTAATCTATTTATTTGGCAAATAAATAGGTGCTTTCTTTTTAGCATCTGCAATTGATAGGTAATGAGGCGCGTTAAATTTTGTAAGCAGTGGAGGGTTTGTGTTTTTTTTAGAGAATTATGTTATTTGTTATTTATTATACTGGTCTAATCATGAAGTGAACATAATAAGAATTATATCTATTTTAGTTCTATCATCAGCTATGGGTTTGAATCTAAGACAAATTCTAGAGAATATGTGCTACCCCGAGATTTTCTTGTCTTTCCTGAGCGATAAGGGGAGAAAAAAAAATTGGGTCAAGGGAAAATGCCATTTTGGAGTTCTATCAACAATTTACCCGTGTAGGCGGAGGTCCAGTATTTTCTGAATCCTTATGTAAGGAATTACAAAAGAAATTTTTTCAACAAAGATGTGAATTAGGAAGAAATGCATTTGTTTTGCATGATGTATTTGGTTTGCTTGCTATATTTTGGTCTGTAGAGTTTGTAAATTATCTTTGCTTTTGTGGGTCATGAAAAGCAGACTGTTATTAGTTAATTTGCATCGATGCCAATTAGTTCTTTAGTTTCAGCTAGATCACTCTGCACTTGTTTATTATTTTATGAAATAAAAAGGGAAAGGCAAGGCAATGCTTTTTTCGATCTTTTAACTAAGATGTGTTCTCCTATAAACACAGAGAAAAACATGTTTGCAATTGATGTTGTGCTGACAGTCATGTTATACTTATATCATGCCATGGTCTGAAAATCAGAACTTGTTTTTTTTTATTTGTTGTTGTTGTTGTTGAGTAAGCAAATTTGGTCTTGAAATTTTAACTTTAATTTCTTTCAAATACTTGTCTTTTGAGGTGGGTCACCCCCTCTCCCAGAAAAAAAGGTTTTGAAAAATTGAAAATAAGCTTAGATTTTGAAGCGATTTAATTATAAAAATAACAATCCCCATAATATTCCTAATTGAACTCTGGCCCTTATTCCTTTTTAATTATTTTAATGTCTGCCATCTACATAACTCCCGACGTCCCCTCCCTGTTTTAAGTAACTTTATGCCGTGTTTAATTTGTCTCATAATGATGTCCACAAATATTGGAAACATGTTATTGAGTTTCTGTTGGGTGGTGATATTATTTTTTTCCCTGGATAATTCAAGAAAAAATGTGGATAAAATGGTAACAGCCAGAAGTTAGAAAAATTATTTGTGTGAAGGGAATTGTTCTTCTAAATGCAGATGGGCTTGTTTTGTAAATGTCAATAAATTGTTTTCTTTTTGTGTTGATTCTGGAGTCAATCATACGATACGAAATTGATACCTATTATGAGTAGAATTGCATCAATCTCCAGGTTCCCCTAATGTGTTCATGTTGAGTTAATTCTCATCTATACTTCTTATTTTGGAAACAAGGATGCAAATGCTCCATGGGAAATTACCAGAGCATCTGAGCCTCAAGCACAGGCAGAATTACATGGAGATCTTAAGAGGAAACTTGAATTTTTTGTAAGTAGACAAAAAATTTCTTGCACTTTTATAAAATTTACTGTTCTTTGTGATGGACTGTAATTTACTCTGTAATATGTTGCTTGCAGCAATCAAGAGTTAAGCAAGCCATTGGGGTGCTAAAGCCTCACTTGACCAGTGCCGCCATCAGTGCAGTTGCTGCAATCCAAGAATTAGAAGGGCTTGTATCAATGGACATTAACGTACCATGGAGAGAGGAACCTCAATCACAAATGCAGCCATTGCCACAAATGCAGCCACTGCCACAGCCACTGCCCCAGGCCCAGGCCCAGGCCCAGCCGCAGCAGCAGCAGCAGCAGCTTTTCTTGCACTTTTATAAAATTTACTGTTCTTTGTGATGGACTGTAATTTACATTTCTTGCACTTTTATAAAATTTACTACTGTTCTTTGTGATGGACTGTAATTTACTCTGTAATATGTTGCTTGCAGCAATCAAGAGTTAAGCAAGCCATTGGGGTGCTAAAGCCTCACTTGACCAGTGCCGCCATCAGTGCAGTTGCTGCAATCCAAGAATTAGAAGGGCTTGTATCAATGGACATTAACGTACCATGGAGAGAGGAACCTCAATCACAAATGCAGCCATTGCCACAAATGCAGCCACTGCCACAGCCACTGCCCCAAGCCCA